GACATCGGGGGAAGTTCCCTTGGATTGGCAGACCGGGGTGGTGGTCCCCCTATTCAAAAAGGGGGACCGTAGAGTGTGTTCCAACTACAGGGGAATCACACTCTTAAGCCTCCCTGGTAAGGTCTATTCCGGGGTTCTGGAGAGGAGGGTCCGTCAGATAGTCGAACCTCGGATTCAGGAGGAGCAGTGTGGTTTTCGCCCTGGCCGTGGAACACTGGACCAGCTCTACACTCTCAGCAGGGTCCTGGAGGGTGCATGGGAGTTTGCCCAACCAGTCTACATGTGCTTTGTGGACTTGGAGAAGGCGTTCGACCGCGTCCCTCGGGGGGCCCTGTGGGGGGTACTCTGGGAGTATGGGGTACCGGACCCTTTGATACGGGCTGTTAGGTCCCTGTATGACCTGTGTCAGAGCCTGGTCCGCATCGCCGGCAGTAAGTCGGGCTTGTTCCCAGTGAGACTTGGACTCCGCCAAGGTTGCCCTTTGTCACGATTCTGTTAATAACTTTTATGGACAGAATTTCTAGGCGCAGCCAAGGTGTTGAGGGGATCCGTTTTGGTGGCCTTAGGATTGCGTATCTGCTTTTTGCAGATGATGTGGTCTTATTGGCGTCATCAGATCGTGATCTACAGCTTTCGCTGGAGCGGTTCGCAGCCGAATGCGACGCGGCCGGGATGAAGATCAGTTCCTCCAAATCCGAGGCCATGGTCTTGAGCCGGAACAGGGTAGAGTGCCCTCTCCGGGTCAGGGAGGAGGTCCTACCCCAAGTGGAGGAGTTCAAGTATCTTGGGGTCTTGTTCACGAATGAGGGAAAAATGGAGCGTGAGATCGATAGGCGGATAGGTGCAGCGTCTGCAGTGAAGCGGGCGCTGTACAGGTCTGTCCTGGTGAAGAGAGAGTTGAGTCAAAAGGCGAAGCTCTCGATTTACCGATCGATCTACGTTCCCACCCTCATCTATGGTCACGAGCTTTGAGTTGTGACCGAAAGAATGAGATCTCGGATACAAGCGACCGAAATGAGTTTTCTCCGCAGGGTGTCTGGGCTCTCCCTTAGAGACAGGGTGAGAAGCTCGATCATCCGGGAGGGACTCAGAGTAGAGCCGCTGCTTCTCCACGTCGAGAGGAGCCAGTTGAGGTGGCTTGGGCATCTGTTTAGGATGCCTTCTGGACGCCTCCCTGGTGAGGTCTTCCGGACACGTCCCATCGGAAGGAGGCCCAGAGGAAGACCCAGGACACGCTGGAGGGACTATGTTTCTCGGCTGGCCTGGGAGCGCCTCGGGATTCCCCCGGAACAGCTGGCCCAAGTGGCTGGGGAGAGGGAAGTCTGGGCCTCCCTACTTAGGCTGCTACCCCCGCGACCCGACCCCGGATAAGCGGAAGAAAATGGATGGATGGATGGATGGAAGTTTGCATTGAAGTTGTAAGATGATCAACTAGATGATCTAAGTAACTGTTCTCTGATGCATTACTCTGCAAGACAGAGGAAAACATTGATGGAAGAGATTGTTTAAATTTGGTTACAGCATTTTCTGATAAGCACCCTCTGAGATGAAATTTACTCTCAGTGACTGTGTAGTCATTTAATGTAAACTCAAAGGTTATTAAAAATGGTCGGACAGAATAGGATTTTGAAGAACTATTACCTAGTCCTTAATCTCTACACCATAGGTCAGAACTAAATCAAGAGTGTGATGATAAGAATGAGTAGATGTGCGGACGTTTTGGTTAAACCAAATGACTCTAATAAATTATTAAAGGCTATGCTTAAGCTATCACTCTCAACATCCACATGAATATTGAAATCACCCATTATGATGATTTTATCAGTATTTAATAGTAAGTCAGTTAATAATTCTGAGAATTCAGCCAAAAACAGAGTAAGCGCCTGGTGGATGATATATAACAACTAGCAAAAGTGGCTTTTCTGATTTCCATTTTGGATGAGAAAGACTGAGGGACAGTGATTCAAAGGCATCATAAGTAATAACTGATTTGGCATTAATCGATAATTCTGACTGAAAAATAGAAGCTACTCCTCCACCTCGGCCAGTTGTTCTAGGAACATGAAAATTTAAATAATTAACAGAAGTGGATTCATTTATACTAACAAAATCCTCCTGTTGTAGCCAAGTTTCTGTCGGACAGAATAAATCAATATGATGATCAGTTATCAGTTCATTAACTAACAGGGATTTAGAGGAAAGAGATCTGATGTTCAATAATCCACATTTAATGAATTTATGATTTTGCTTTGCTAAAGTAACTGTGTTTATTTTAATCAGATTTTTATGATTTATATTTTTAGAGCTGATATTTGGTTTATTTAATTTGAGCCGTGGGCGAGTTGACACTGTTTCAAAGTTGGTGTGGGTGGGTAACAAAGGAGAAGCAGCAGAGAGGTGTGGAGGACTACAACTCTGCTTCCTGGACTGGACCCTGGGTTGTCAATAATTTGGGGGATAAAAAAATAAAAAATAATAATAATTTGGGGGATAAACAAAATCAGCCATATTCCTAGAAAGAAGAGCGGCTCCGTCCAAAGTGGGATGGATGCCATCTCTCTGCATCAAACCAGGTTTTCCCCAGAAACAACTTCAGTTATCTATGTAGCCCATGTCATTGTCAGAACACCACCTGGACACCCAGCGGTTGAACGACGACATACGGCTAAACATGTCATCGCTGGTCAGGTTGGGGAGGGGGCCAGAGAAAACTACGGAGTATAAATATACATGGTTTTAGCAAAGTCACACACTGAAGCAACATTCATTTTAGTGACCTCCGATCGGCGTAACCGGGTGTCATTACCGCTGACGTGAATAACAATCTTACTGTATTTAGCCTTAGCCTTAGTCAGCAGTTTCAGATACGATTCTATGTCGCCCGCTCTGGCCCGCGGAATGCATTTGACTATGGCCGCTGGAGTCCCTAAAGCCACGTTTTGGACTATGGAGCTTCCAATAACCAGGGTCTACTTCTCAGCGGGTGTGTCACTGAGCGAGGAAAATCGATTAGAAACGTGAACGGGTCGGTGGTGAACTGGGGGCTTAGCTTTAGCACTACGCTTGCTCCGCTTGACCGTCACCCAGCTGGCCTGGGGTCCCGGCTGCTCGGGGTCTGCTGGAGGACCGCTAACGGGAGCTAGCCTCTGTGGTTCCGCGCTGTCAAAGAGGACCTGGCTATTTCAGAGTTATAAACATCTGTGAAACGTGCGGCAGTGAAGTGGTTAATGGCCCGGCTACTACGTGCAGGAATGCACGGCTTAGGAATTAGATGGGGAGTGTGAACTCAAACCAGACTGGCATGTGGTCTGAAAAAACATTATCACCAATTTCAAGATTACTAACAGTCACATCACGTGTTAAAACAAGGTCCAATGTATGTCCGCGTTCTTGGGTGGGACCGTTTACATGCTGAGTTAGATTAAATGAGTCCAATAAATCTAAAAAGTCCTTAACCAAGGGCTTCTCCTGACAGCACACATGAAAATTAAAGTCCCCAATAATGAAAACATGATCATATTTTGGTGTGATTTCAGCCAAGAAATCAGAAAACTCATTTATGAAATCCTTAGATCGAGGTGGGCGGTAGACGAGTGTGCATAAAGTCGAAGGCGAATGGCTGAGTTCAAAGACGCTCAGCTCAAAGTTGGCGCGAGAAACTGGGATGGGCAGTTGTTTACAGTCAAAAGTTGATTTGAATATTGCTAATAATCCACCACCGCGCCGGCCTGATGGCAGACAGACAGTTCGGTGGCAATAATTCCGTCAAGGCGCTGGACTCACCCGGAGATATCCAAGTCTCTGTGATACAGAGAAAGTCCAAATCGCGTTCTTGAAAGTAGTCCCTGAGGATAAAAGTTTTATTGGTAACAGAAGCTTGCGTTGACCAAACACATCCGGATACTGTCCAAAGTGGACCCAGCAGCGGTGGAGGAAGCGCGCGCCAGTGGCCGCAGATTTTCTATAACGGCACCTCCGGGTCGGCCCGTGCGGCGCACCAGTCGACAACTCCCGTTGTTTACCTGGTCCGTGCACGCGGGAAGCTGGTGATGGAAACCATGACCACCAGCTGGAGAGGAAGATGCAGTGTGCAGGGCTTTAAGCTTTACCAGCCACCCAGCACATTTTCCCCGACGTCTGGAGCGATATCTCCAGGCAGGCAGGTGAGGAGTGCAGCGGAGGTAAACAGGCACGTCCGCCAGCAGCGGGGGAAGGGTGGGGGGCAGCGGTACGCTCATAATGATCCAAATAAGTGACATCGGCGGCAGGAAAAACGAACATCCCAGAAGCTGTTGTCGGTCATACACCAGCAGCGAGTTTATGTCCCAGATGAAGAACAAAACACAAATAATCCGAACTCCATCAGCAGAGGTGGATTGCAAGCCATGTACTGTACATGGGTGCCATCTTACCGGAAGTCCGGAAGTTATTGCTAGTATCACTTAGCCTCCTGTGAATAGCAAACAGCCATCAGGGTGCTAATGATCCATTGTTAGGCTGATGGTCCTTCTTGATCATGTGAGCAGCTGGTTCAGCAGCAAACTGGTTGATCCACTCTGAGAAGGTGCTATTTATAAGACTGAGCTGAATACAGCACCTCAGACTAAGGAAGTCTCTCGGATGAGAGATGAAACGTTTCTATATTTTTTTGCTTTGTTTTGTTTTTTGTTTTTTTGAATGTCCAGAAGACCAGATTGAACTTTTTTGGATTTTTCTACCTGGATTATTGAGCATGCATCAGGATATTTACTAATTGGCTTTTATGTATGTGAATGTTCCTGTAAAGTGCCCTGAGACAACTTTATTGTGATTTGGTGCTATATAAATAAACTGAATTGAATTGAATTTTTGTGCTTGAATTGTTGTGCTCTCTGATAATTGACTTCCTGTTTTTCTCTTATACACCAGCCTTTCTGTCTGTAACCTGTCCTCAGCTTCATGGTGAGTTGACAAACTCTTAAATGTTGACGTACACAGACAATAAGAAGTAAAGATTTTACCTGAAAACATTTTGCTTGAACAAGTAAGCACTGATATGTCCTCCATTCAAAAAGCGAACTTCACATCCTGGCCAGATCTCTTGCAGACTGAGGACCCCTGTTCGAGGAACGTAGGCATCCTCTTTGGCCTGGACCACGATGATGAGGTTGGTGTCCACAGGTACTGACAGACAAACAGGACAGAGAGGACACTTGTATTGTTATTAAGACAAATCACACAGAAATGATGTTCAATGCACATCTTAGTCCAAGTTAGAAAAATCACATCCAATCCCAACCAATGAAGACATTTACTGGTTCTTATTTTGTATGTAAGAAAATCAAAAAATATATAAAATTTAAATCTGAGTCCATCGCAACACATATTTACTAAACTACTCTTAACACTTGTGTGACTTTCAACCGTAATGAAATTAGTACCCATCTACAATTGTTCATAAAGCCTGGTTTTAATTTTTAAATTTATGACGAATCATCAAAACATAAAAAAAAGGTTCATCCAAACCATCCACATGTCTGCTAGATCCCATCCAAACCAGACTGTTTAAAGAGGTATTTCCCCTAATTAATGTCCACATTTTGGATCTACTTATTCTGTCTTTAATGAATGGTTACGTACTACAGAGCTTTAAGGTTGCTGTAATTAAACCTTTATTCAAGAAACATAACCTTGATTAAGGAATTCTGGCCAATTATAGACCTACAGAAGTTCCTTGTTTATCACGGGGGATCCGTACCATGAAGACGAGCGATAAGTGAAAAACCGCGAAGTAGGAATAGTAGTACAAGTAGTGAGTAGTAGTTTATTTTAGTATATATAGTATAGTATATAAATATATCTATATATATCTATATATCTATCTATATATATCTATATATAGATATATATAAAGGTGTTTTAAACCCTTCCCACACTAAACTCTAAACCAGGAGTGTAAATGTCACTTACATAAGGGGGCCACATTTAAAACCTTTTTCAAACTAAGGGCCAATTTCAGAATCTACATTAACTCAAGTTAGATACCCAACATCTTTTCTTGGTCGCAGGTTCCTCAACAAGAGTTTGATTGGTTTCATTTGACGGTCTCTGTTGTGCTTTCGACATCATAATCAAAGATTACTGAAAAAATTCAAGAGATAAAAGTATTTTACATTTCACATATAATCATGGGGGCCAGATAAGATGTCAACGAGGGCCACATATGGGCCCCAGGTCTTGAGTTTGACATGTTTTCTTCTCTAAAAGAGCACAGAATGTCATGATCTCAGCTCTTTGCCTCCAGCTGCACTCAGCCATCTGCAAGCACTCACAGCCACGCCCACTTCTCTGCTCTGAATGGAGAACAGCTGATCAGCTGCAGTAGGATGTTTATCCTGCAGTGTGGGCTGCACAAAGGTGAGGCAGGTGCTAAATAATTTAAAATAATTTATTTTAAACAAAAATTCCATGCCAATCGTGCGGCTCATCCATCAATCAGCCAATTGTGTGTCATGTCCAATGTTATTTTGAAAAAACGCAATAGAGCAAGTCCGTGATAAACGAACAGCGAAGTAGCGAGGGACTACTGTATATCTAATCTAACGTTCATCTAAAAAATTCTACAGAAAATAAGTTGCAACAGGTGCGTGAACATCTGAAATTAAATAATCTGTTTGAAGAGTTTCAGTCAGTGTTTAGAGCTCATCATAACAATGAATCTGCACTAGTGAAAATTACCAATGATATTCTCATGGCTTCAGACAATGAACTTGTCTCTATACTGGTCCTGTTAGACCTCAGTGCTGCATTTGATAAAATTGATCATAATATTCTATTACAGAGACTTTAATATGATGTTGGAATTACAGGAATGGCTCTAAAATGTTTTAAATAATATTTATCTGATAAAGTCCAATTTGTAAATTTAAATAATGAATCTTCATCATACACCAAAGTTAGTCATGGAGTTCCTCTGGGTTCAGTGCTTGGAGCAATACTCTTTCTCTTATATATGCTTCCATTAGGTAAAGTTATTAAACAGTATGAGATTTATTTTCATTGTTATGCTGATGATGCACAGTTGTATTTGTCCATGAAACCCAATGAATCCAGTCAGTTACTTAGGTTGTTTTCACACCTGATAGTCCGGTAGACTCGGTTCGGTTGGGGACCAATATTCATAACATTTTGTTTACATTTGAGCTGTTTCATTTGCATTCATACTGCACTGTGCAGTCGAGCCAACCTGTTTGAACCAACCTGTTCTCCCACTCGCCTGTGGTGGCGCTGCACCAAGGACTACTGAAAGAAACTAAACAAAAACCTCTGAAGAAGACACTTCTTCTTCTTCTTCTGGAAAAAAAAAAAAAAAAACGGAGTGGCATCAAATTTTAGCAGTTTTAGGAGTTATATTTAGTCATTTTTCAAAAATGGACTCATCATGAGTGGAAGATGAGGCAGAAAACCATGGAGAATATTGTTTTTCACACAAGGCAGCTGACGGTTCAATATGAGGCAAGAGAAATGTGTGCTTGTTTGCCCTGCGCTGTACTCCACTTCTTGCTTGTGGAGCGGGGCCTGGTCTGCTTACGTTCACACAGTACTCGAACCGCGCTGGAGTTTTCTTCTACCGGACCAAGACCTAAGTTTTAGCCCGGGCCATAGTTCGCCTTTTTGTTCCGTGACAGAGTTCGATGGTGCGTTCACACCTCCCCAAACGAATCGGACTTCCTAGGCAAACGAGCTAGAGTTCGGAACAACAGGGCTGGTGTGAATGCACCCTTAGACTAAAAGCATGTCTTAAAGACATAAAAACCTGGATGATCCTAAATTTTCAGCTTTTAAACTCAGACAAGACAGAGTTTGTGGTTTTTGGACCCAAGCATCTTAGGAATATTTTTTTCAGTGTTTCACCCTCCTTGGATGGCATTAATCTGGCCTCCAGTTCCATAGTTAAACATCTTGGTGTTATTTTTGATCAGGACATGTGTTTTAAACCCCACATTAAAAACATTACAAGAACTGCCTTCTTCCACCTGCGTAATATCGCTAAAATTCAGAATAGAATTCAAAATCTTACTTCTAACCTACAAAGCTCTCAACAACCTGGCTCCATCTTATATTACATATTTTATTGTTCCATATTTTCCTAACAGAGCACTTCGCTCTCAGGCTGCAGATTTACTTGTGGTTCCTAGAATTTACAAAAACAAAATGGGAGGCAGATCTTTCAGTTATCAGGCTCCTCTCTTGTGGAACCAACTTCCAATCTCTGTCAGTGAGGCTGACACATTATCCAGTTTTAAAACTAGGCTTAAGACTTTCCTTTTTGCTAAATCCTATAGTTAGGGTCGGCTTGGGTTTCCTGAGCTGTCCCTAGTTATGCTGCTATAGGCTTAGACTGCTGGAGGACAAACTGACCACAATTTTCACTCTGCTGCTGTCTTTACTTACTCTGCTCAACCTGTTTTGTATTTGTAATTATTTTTTCTATCCTTAACATGTGTTTTGTTTTTTTTTTTTTTTTATCTTTCAGATACACCTGGACCTACCATTCTATGTTCGTCTGTCTCTCCTTCATGTCCTCTCAAACCAGCCGGTCAGAGCAGATGGCTGCTTGTCCTGAGCCTGGTTCTGCTGGAGGTTTCTTCCTTTTAAAAGGGAGTTTTTCCTTTCCACTGTTGCCACTGTGCTTGCTCAGGATGGGAGACAGCAACGAAGCCCAGATTCAACTTGTCTGCTGGATTCCTTAGATAGAGAACTTTGGCTTTTATGTATGTGAATGTTCCTGTAAAGTGCCCTGAGACAACTTTGTTGTGATTTGGTGTTATATAAATAAACTGAACTTAATTGAATTGAATTGTGCTCCAGCATCAACGTGTGGCATGGAGGCTTCACAGCTGCAGAAAGAAAAGTTTTGCAGAGAGTGGTGAAGGGTGCACAGAAGTCTGTTGGAGCCAGCCTCCCCACCGTCACAGACATCTACTCCTCCAGATGCAGGAAGAGGGCCACCTGTACCATGAAGGACCCCACTCACCCAGCACACACACATTTTGCCTTGCTCCCTTCAAGCAGGAGGTTGAGGAGCATTAAGTGTAGAACCACTAGACTGAAGAACAGCTTATACCCTGAGGCTGTTATACTCATGAATCCCTAATCAGGATAATCACTGTGAAAAGAAAAATCACTATAATGCCACTTGATTGTGTGCTGCTGATTAACCATCCTGGGAATGCCTGTCAGAAGAATCTAACTCACACATCAGAGAGAACTTCAATGGTATCACAGAAAGGGCGGAGGACATTTCATTTGAATGGGTTTTGTTCTACACCTCCAATGTCGAGGCGGCTGCCTTGGGCTGTGGACAAAAGTGTAGGGACACATCAAGGTTTTTCTACCATCAACTTTTATTCTTTTGATACTTTGAAAGTAAGACTGACTCTCATTCCCAAAGCTGGACAGTAAGAAACCCTCCATCCATCCATTTTCTTCCGCTTATCCGGGGTCGGGTCGCGGGGGTAGCAGCTTAAGTAGGGAGGCCCAGACTTCCCTCTCCCCAGCCACGTGGGCAAGCTCCTCCGGGGGAATCCAGAGGCGTTCCCAGGCCAGCCGAGAAACATAGTCCCTCCAGCGTGTCCTGGGTCTTCCTCTGGGTCTCCTCCCGGTGGGTCGTGTCCGGAACACCTCACCAGGGAGGCGTTCAGGAGGCATCCTAACCAGATGCCCGAGCCACCTCAACTGGCTCCTCTCGATGTGGAGAAGCAGCGGCTCTACTCTGAGTCCCTCCCAGATGATCAAGCTTCTCATCCTATCTCTAAAGGAAAGCCCAGACACCCTGCAGAGAAAATTCATTTTGGCCGCTTGTATCCGAGATCTCGTTCTTTCGGTCACAACCCAAAGCTCATGACCATAGATGAGGGTAGGAACGTAGATAGATCGGTAAATTGAGAGCTTCGCCTTTTGACTCAGCTCTCTCTTCACCACGACAGACCTGTACAGCGCCCGCTTCACTGCAGACGCTGCACCTATCCGCCTTTCGATCTCACGCTCCATTTTTCCCTCATTCGTGAACAAGACCCCAAGATACTTGAACTCCTTCACTTGGGGCAGGACCTCCTCCCTGACCCAGAGAGGGCACTCTACCCTGTTCCGGCTCAAGACCATGGCCTTGGATTTGGAGGAAC